GCTCCTCTCCAGACTATAAAAGGAATGCTTGTGCACACACCCCTCTTGCAGAAGTCAACACATTGACTAAAAGTTGGAGAACTTTTGTAACTAGCTTGGCAGGCTGGATTGCTGCCAAGGCTTGTCCGAGTTGCTCCCAAGGTCCTTGTCTGTTTGTTATGCTTGGCTTTCAGCCACCGAGGTTTCGGTTTCTTGCCAATAAAGTACATTCCAGTTAAGCTTGTCTCGGCATTCATTACTGGACGGAGGAGGGGGTCAGAATACCTATTTATCTACTCACATTTGCATGCTTTCGAACCACTAGGCTGGCAAGAACTGGGGCAAGAATGGGAGTTCACCCAGTCATACAGCGCTTGTGTCTGTCCAGCCAACAAGCCTAGTGCCTTGACTGTTCAGTGATACATGATGTCATGCTGGCCACATGACCATGGATACCTCTTTGGACAGCGCTGACTCAATGGTCTCGAAACAGAGATGAGCTCCACTCCCTACTAGCAGAGTAAAAACGACTAGCAGGGGCTTCTTTACTTTTACCGTATCACACAAGATAAACTGGGGAGGAAGGTTGGTGCTAAAACAGAACAACGGGGTAACTTTCAAATGATGTAATAAGCTTATTGCTGAGTGCGCGGTATAAACAATAGCTTGCATTCCTATTATTCCTGGAAAAAGATATTCTCTCCTTTCACAAATATTCAAGTTTTGCCACTGTAAAGTCACCTAATGCAAGATCAGATTTTTCTCTGGGCTGAAGCTCATATAGTCCATGCCAGTGATGTGCCACAGAAAGCAGTGTTTCTGTGGCACAAAAGTTCATAACAGTGCAATTATTTGATAACATGAATCCGCCCCACCAAATTGTGAACTTCACTCCGCATTCCTTTGTTGTTATTTATATTTAAGGGAGCAGCGCTGGGGATTACTCACCACGGAAATCATACTTTTGGCAAGTTACTTGTTCTAATCTGTGGAAAGTTAAGTGGACAGGACGAAATGTACCCCACCTGTGTAAACATTAATACTGAGAATTGCAAAGTGTTCCTATTGTAGAAGAAACGAAATCATGGAGAATTCCTGGAGGAGGAAAACCAAACGTTTGGATGGACCATTTAAAACTCATCGCATTTCCCTTTCTCTTAGAGCTACAACTTGCTTGTTCACTCTTTTGTTTCACTATTATTATTTATTTCGGGAGAAAGTGATAGTTGCTCAAAAGATTAAAATCCTTGGTTTCAAATGAAGTCGAACTAAACAGTCAATTCAGAAGCTTATTTCTTGTAGGCACACATTACATAAGGCATCACTTACTCTGGAATACTTCCTGTAAACCAACTACTGGACATTTCTTGCAAGCCATCATGAGAAATTGGGGAGCGGGGGTGGTGGTCCTCTAGTGTCTGA